TTTCCAAGGGAAATATGTGCTTATTAGATTAAAAAAAAATCTTTCCCTGTAAAAATAAACCAACTCCTGCTCAATATATGGACCATGCAGATGTTGCAGCCGGAGCTGCAGGAAAGAGGAAATCAACAATCTGCTCTTTCCACACAAGCAGGCCTTGATAAAAGCGAGGGAGGGGAGGAGAGGGAGACCGTAACTAACAAGACACAGTGTGATTTAGAGAACGTGGTTGCGATGATTATTTTTTTATTTGTCATGCCTTTCGGGTGAGTCTGCCTCCGGCAATCCTCGACCATAACAGCTGTTGCAAAGGCATCTGTGGCTACAGGGGCCTCGCAGGCAGGCATCTGGGTGGAACTCTCCCAATGGCTGTGAAAGTTACGTCCGCTGTGAGCGAGGGGTGTGAGTCCCCTGCCCCTGTGTGCATTCTCTCGCTAGCGCTCTGCCAGCCAGCATGGCTATAAATAGCTGCGCGGAGAGCTGAGGCAAGTAGGCGTATGTGAGCAGCAGGATCACGCCCCGGGCTTGCAGTAAAGGCTTAGCCTGAGAAGTAAATAAAGCTGCCTCGTTCTGGGCACGTGAGTCCGTGGGGAAGTTCCTATGGACTCTGGATCAGGCCTTATTTGAGCTGTCTGGTATAAGGATTCTCAAGGGCAGCAGTTTTCAAACTTTTTATTTTTCTCATGAGCCAGTTAAAGAAACTTGTGGATGCCTGCAATCCCACATCATTTGACTAGACTGGGGATTGAGTCTGAGAACTTCAGCTTTGGGGGCAGGAAGGTCAGGACGGGGGCAGGACAGGCTTACCTCGAGCAGTTCCCAGTCAGCATTGTGGCAGGGGTGCTGAGCAATGCTCCTTCTAATCTCTTCCATCCACAAGTGGATTTTTTCCATCCACGTGCAGAATAAATTTTGTTGCGTGCCCTGAGGCCTGTGTAAATATGCACCACCAGTAGCAACACAAACCTAGCTGTGGGAGCTCGGCTAATCAGCTGGGTGGCATTGGACTCTCTCCTGAATGACCACACAAGCGCACAACTTACAGGGAACACTGATGCTAAGGCAGCTGCCTGCTTCTCCTGGCACCGCAGATCAGGCTGCACCCCAGAAGCAGCCAGCTGCAGGTTCCCAGCCAATGGGAGTGCGGAGCTGGTGCTCAGGGCCGGGGCAGTG